CCCTCCCTAACAAAGATGGTTGAGGGACCTGCCTCTGTATTAGCTTTTCAAAAGGCCCTTCAAGCACATTTGCTTTGTATCAGGTTGTAACTGTTGATTTTAACCATTAATTTTAATTATGAATTTTACTTCTTTGTTTTAATTGCTATTTTAAGTGAAGGGTTGATTTCAAATCTGTTTTTGCTGAAAGATGCAGAAACACTTCATATACCAATTTAAATCAATTAGCAAACCATTATATAATAAAATAAACCAAATCTTCAGAGAAACCACTGTCGATGCAGTGCCCAGTAGAGAAAGTAAGAGGGCAGATCTTACTAAAGACGTCAAACATTTACCAATAAGCCAGAGATGGGTGCTCCTTAAGGGCTTGCGTTGGGAGTGCTGGCAACTTCTTCAAGTCGGTCCTTACAGTTTCATTGCTGAAAAAGAGAAGATTCCCCCAAAAAATGAAAGAAGAGAAATTCAGTTTCTTAAGGAAGTTAACCCAGAGATGCTGTGGCTAATGGAGAGGTGAGGCTTCAACCTTTATTCTTGCTTAATGAAATATTGTGGAGCGGTTCCTGCCCCATGCCCTTTATTTATTTTGCATCAGGGAGCCTTTCCACTACAGCGCCATCATCCTCTGAAGAAAGCTACCCCAGATGTTGAAGCCTTTTGCTTCCTCCATTTCCTTTGAATTTTTGAGTATCACCACAACACTGCTACGTTTCCAGAGTGGCCGATCCTGTGCAGAAAGCCATATGGGCAGGATGGTACTGCAAGGAAGAAAGTTCTCTAAAGATTTTAAAGACTTCCAAAAAACGCTCCTAAAAGCAGTTGTGGATTAGAGATCTCCAGCCGGAGTTGCTCTTCCTGCCTTGACAGGTCTTTTGTTCACCCACCTTCAGGGCATGCTTGAAGTGGGGGTGGGGATTACATTTCCTGTGGGAAGGGGCAGGCCAATGAAGTTCTGCAAGGCTGAGAAACGTGGCAAAATACAATAAAAAAGAGCAAAATTCCTGGAAGTGAGAGGTGGTTACAGCGAGACTGCTGAATGAAAGAAAGTCTGTGACTTGGTTTGACTTTTTTCTCTGTTTATTTTGGAAAAATTAATTTAAAAAAAAGAACAGCAAACAAAAGCTCAAAAAACACACATCTATTATGTACTAAACAAAATTAAACTTTCATTTTTATTTAGGTCTTATCACATTATACAATCTGATTATTAACATCTAAATCAACTG